CTGTGTGATCTACGACGCCAGTCTAAACATCGAGTGCAGAGCGCCGTCGTCCAAAGATGGTCCTTGAGAGGATTTCGGCGCATTTGTGGAGTGGATTCTGGCGAGAAACTGGTCACCTCTCACCATCACTCCCGAGGATGATCTCACCAGATTCACTCCGGACCCAGAGCCCAGCCCACCATCTCCCCGCTGTGCGGAGCTAAAGCCCGAGCCCACCGATGACGGAGAGCCAATTCCCGTCGCGATCTACGAGCCAGCGCAATGCCGAGCGACTGAGAGGAGGATCGCCCCGGAAGTAGAGGAGAGGAGCTCCACCCCCTGCACCGCGGCTGAGGGTGAGCTGAGTATGGCGCGGCGTAAGTGCCAAAGCGAAGAGGAGAGGGCTCTAGTCCCCGAATCCAGTCCAGAGTGCCCTCAAGTGTCCGCTCCTCCTGAGCACCATCCTGTTCCCGTGTTCAGCCTAGAGGGGGCTTCCGATCCAGAGTTAAGCCCTGAATGCCCGGAGATGCACAAATGCCCGCCCTCCCACCCGCTCCTGCCTCCTCCACCGCTGTCGTCTGGCAGCCCCTCTGCTCGCCCTCAGCCCACCATCAATACGGTGCGAGCGCCGTGGGTCTGCCATCCTCCAGCGTTGCCATGGCTGGAGAATTCCTTACCTCCGCCTCCAAGCCCCGGATGTGTGTCCATCCTCCTCCGGAACCTCCTCCCAAGTTCCCACCCATGCCTCCCTCTGTTGTTGCTACGGTGCGAGGATGCACGGAGGGGGCGTAATGTCAGGATCATGGACTGTCTGTGACATGTTTTGCCCCTGTTTCTGTTCCCTTATTTGGTCATGTTCCTGTCCTTGTTTTGTTAATTATTTTGATTTGTCATCCCATACACCTGTGTTTCCCCAATCATCCCCTGTATTTAAGTCCTAGTCTGTGCAGTCTGTCTCTGTCGGCCATGGCTGGAGAATTCCTTCCCTCCGCCTCCAAGCCCCGGATGTGTGTCCATCCTCCTCCGGAACCTCCTCCCAAGTTCCCACCCATGCCTCCCTCTGTTGTTGCTACGGTGCGAGGATGCACGGAGGGGGCATAATGTCAGGATCATGGACTGTCTGTGACATGTTTTGCCCCTGTTTCTGTTCTCTTATTTGGTCATGTTCCTGTCCTTGTTTTGTTAATTATTTTGATTTGTCATCCCATACACCTGTGTTTCCCCAATCATCCCCTGTATTTAAGTCCTAGTCTGTGCAGTCTGTCTCTGTCGTTTCTACTTGTTATGGTCATGTGTTTCCTGCCGTTCCCAGTGTTGGATGTACCCTGTGTTTCTTGGATTAAAGACTGTTTTGTTTATTCCTCGTCTCTATCGTTCCTCGCCATCACAGATTGAGACAGTGGTAGTTTTGCCAATGGTACTGAAAATGATTGTTGAAAAAGTCATCATGAAATCAAAAATTACCCTACTTACTTTTTTAGTGCACATTACTTCTCTTGTGGTGAACAATTAAACCATGCAAGTAAATACACTGGGGGAAAAAATTGTCTGCCGTCGTAATCTTTAATGAAAAACACTCAAAATTGACTTCCGCTCTGGAATGCCGTTCTGGCTCTGATTACGTCAGTTTGACGGCTTGGGGAGAATCCTCTTGTTAAGTCATGACATAAGGACTGCTGTTTCCGGGTCCATTTCACTTGAGAATACTATCTCAGCAGCCATTTATGAGCACTATTTAATCAATATTACATATTTAAGCTAAGCTTTTAAAAAATTGCTGTACACACTACAGTCTCCGTGCTCACAATGTCTCAGACACTAATATTTTAGCTGAATCACTGTCTGGCCATCTGGGATTTCAGTATGGAGTTAATTACATGACACTGTGAGTGTTTTGGGGGGCGTCTGGCAGAGCATTAGGACCCAGAAGCGGTGAAGCATGATATCAGACATAACAAGCAGATATTCTTAACCACCATCCAACCGTGAATTTGCTATGAGCAGAGATGGAGTGGAGGTGCACCAAAATAAAACCTCGCCCTTTATTCAATATTCCGTTTCACTTGGAAATACATCACAACACTGAAGTCAGTTGCAACTTCCGGTTCACGGGTACTTTAATATTTATAATTTCACGAAATTTGTCAATAAGATAAAAGTGGGGTTTGTTCAAAGTAGCTATTATCCACATAGATCTTGGATATGAATTTATTTATTTTTTTGGTCATTCATTAAATATCGCCAGCTAAAAAGTAACTAGTAATCTGAGTAGTTTTTGAGAAGAGTAATTTGTACTTTTACTTAAGTACTGTTTTGACACCAGTACTTTTACTTGTAATTGAGTATTATTTCAGCAATGTAACAATACTTGTACTTAAGTACAAATTTTCAGTACTCTTTCCACAACTGGTTGGTAGCATATTTTTGATAGATCAACTATAATGAAATGAATTATTTATATTCATAAATAAATCTGCTGTATTTTGCAGATTTTACAGTAACAATATACTTTTTTAATAAATAAACACTGTAGCATGAAAAAATGCTAACGTCACACTGTATTCCACACTGGGCTTCTCACATATTATGGATTTTAGTCTGTTGATACATTCAAATGATTCATATGACTGAATTCAAATTAGCTATTAGACTTTACAAAACAGCATTATCATACTAGAATGCATTAGCTACTCCATCATTAGTTGTCAGTATAGTTGTGCAGATATTACAGCCAGTTCAAGAAAAGGATTCACTGACTAGATTCTTTCTACAGGTACGACACAGTACTATAGGGTTGTTATCTTATTGTAAGTTGGATCAACTACAATTTCCCCCCCAAACAAAGGACTAAGATGCAAACCTGAACCGTCATGTCCCTCAAAAGCTTCTTACTTCTTAATACAACTGTCATATTCAGCTAATTCAAAAGTCTTCTTGTTTACTTGTTCTCATTTCCTGTCTTCTTTAGCTTGGCTTTCAAATTAGACTTCAAGATACCTGCAAGCAAAACATGTGACTTCTCTCCATTAATGAATAACTTCTGGATTTTGCATCTCGATGCCAACCTTTGGATGTCTGCCGCCCTGCACTCGTAAACACATGGCGCCCCTGAGATTATGTATACATTCTATTAACAGCCCTGAAGGTAATGGGAAGCACATTTACACTATAGGTACAGCCCTATACCACCATATACAGAACCTTCCTGAGAGGAAGCGGTCACATCCCGCAGGTTCCGGAAGGTTCTGAGAGGTCAGTAACAGGGGCAGCTGTGATGGTTTCGTCCTTATCGATGATAATGCTGTTTTGAAGGGGAGGTTAGATTATTTGAATTTATTAGTTCTATTGGTGTAAATTGTGTTTTGTTGGGTAAAATCTTTTAATACGAATTTATTAAATGATATTAATATATTAATTATATTATTTTATTATTACATTTGAATTAATTAATTTATTTTACTTAAAAATGGGGAGTGGCAGAAGGAAGGGGGTTCGATTACCACATGCAGCATTTTTTTATTTCAGAAATCTGAAATAAATTTTGGATAATAAATAATTAGCTTATTTTTTAATAATTTAAGTAATAAAACTTATATAATACATAACGAAATACTTCATAATATATATAAAATCTATTTTATTTTAACAACTATAGTTTCTACAAATATCTTTCAAAAAGTTGATCAGTTATTATTTTTAATTGATTAGTTTTATCATTTTTTATGTTTTTAATAACAAATAATTAACTTAAATTGTAATGTTTTAAGTAATATTTAGGTGTAGAAATATTTAAGAATATAAAATATATAATTAAATACTTAATTTATTATATACATAATATAAAAACTTAAGCTTATCAGTTATTGGTATTTTAAAATGTATTATATATTTGATCATTTTTATTAATATTTAATATTTTACTTTTTTTATTATTTTTGTAGTTTCTACAAATCACTAATAATGGACTACAGTATGTAGGAGAATAATTGTATATTTTAATAATCATTGTTAAAAATAAACAATTATTTACAGTGGCATCTTTTATCACATTGCTGTTGTTGTTGTTCTCATATTACATAATTATTATATAAAATGTTAATGCTATTTAGGATACAGTGCAATATTATGTTATATTATTAAATTAAACCTGAATAAAAACAAAGCAAAAAAAAACAAAACTTAAAAGAAGACTGGCAAAATGCAGTAGACTAATTAACTTTGTACGTTTTCAGGAAGCAGAGGTTAACGGTACCCTTCCCCTGTTTCATTGTGTCCATCAAAACGGCTTGACCCTGCTGATGTCCTCACGGCTAAACGGAAATAAGCAAACGCAGCTTCAGAGAGAAGATTTATCTGAAGATTTGCAGATTACCACAGCAAAGAGACTTGGAGAGCGTTATTGGTATTTTAAAATGTATTATATATTTGATCATTTTTATTAATATTTAATATTTTACTTTTTTTATTATTTTTGTAGTTTCTACAAATCACTAATAATGGACTACAGTATGTAGGAGAATAATTGTATATTTTAATAATCATTGTTAAAAATAAACAATTATTTACAGTGGCATCTTTTATCACATTGCTGTTGTTGTTGTTCTCATATTACATAATTATTATATAAAATGTTAATGCTATTTAGGATACAGTGCAATATTATGTTATATTATTAAATTAAACCTGAATAAAAACAAAGCAAAAAAAAACAAAACTTAAAAGAAGACTGGCAAAATGCAGTAGACTAATTAACTTTGTACGTTTTCAGGAAGCAGAGGTTAACGGTACCCTTCCCCTGTTTCATTGTGTCCATCAAAACGGCTTGACCCTGCTAAACGGAAATAAGCAAACGCAGCTTCAGAGAGAAGATTTATCTGAAGATTTGCAGATTACCACATCAAAGAGACTTGGAGAGCGTAACTATTAGTGTTGCAGACATTATTTCATCATTTTCCCACTGTCCTCTGATTATCTCTATGAAAGTGAATATCAAATCAGTGTGTAAGAGAGTGAGTTCTGACCTGCATGAGAGAGCTGTAGTCGTGGTATATTCTGCTTTCCAGCATTACTGGGCCGTATAAGAGGCAGCAGCGAGTGGAGCAGAAAGACCAGCAGGGGACTGTAACGCCCAGTCCTCCACAATCCCACAATCCTCATCTCCAGCTTCCTGTAGTCTGACCGTACAGGATGTCTTCTCTGTCACATCACCTGCGTAGTGCTGGAGAAACAACAAACAGATATGAGCATGTAAGCTGAAATTAAGTATTAGTACTAATAGTAATACTGTATGTTTCTGTAATCTGATTCTAATCAATATATAATATAATATACTATAATTTTAATCCCTTTGTTACTGCTGTTCTAATATTACATTATCATTTAACTTTTTTAATGTTTTAAAACACTTAACAGTGCAATATTCTGTTACAATATTAAATTACATCACCTTTTAGTACTGGAAAAATAACAAACTGATGTGAGCATGTAAGTTGAAATAATTATAATAGTAATAATGTAGTAATAACATGAAACACCACTCACAACCAACTTATTTTGTTTCTGGAATATGATGCAAATCAATATATATATATATTTCTAAATGAAAATTAATTTTTTTTTAAATATATTTTTTGACATTTATTTATTTTAAATTCTACAAGTCATTCATCTATAATAATCTATATATTCTGTTACAATATTAAATTACATCACCTTTTAGTACTGGAAAAATAACAAACTGATGTGAGCATGTATGTTGAAATAATTATAATAGTAATAATGTAGTAATAACATGAAACACCACTCACAACCAACTTATTTTGTTTCTGGAATATGATGCAAATCAATATATATATATATTTCTAAATGAAAATATTTTTTTTTTTAAATATATTTTTTGACATTTATTTATTTAAAATTCTACAAGTCATTCATCTATAATAATCTACAACTGGACTATATTGTGTTGGACAATTATTGAATATTTTAATCAGAATTTAAATTTTTGTAATGATTTTAAAGCACAGTGCAATATGCTATTCACAACTTGTTTTGTTTCTATAATCAGATACTAATCAATATTTAATAGCAATTTAATAATATATAATTGAAACACATATATATTGATATATTTAAAGTTAACGTTTAACATTCATACAATTATTATATTATAAAAACGTTAAAGAAATATTACATTATAAACATTACATAAATGTTAAATAATGTTTCCAAGTTGCAATACAAAATTTGAGTCAAAATAAATAACTTTGACAAAGAGACTCCCAAATAGCAATATGTTAGATGAAGATACCAGACCATTTTCCACATCAAATTGAATATGTTTTGACTCCTTATGGAAGGGAAAACTCCAAATGACATTCTTGCACAATGACCATAACCCTGTCCATATCATCTTTTCTAAATAGAAAACAGAATATGCCACATCCTTAGACATTCACTATCAGACTGAAGCACGCTAGCATTGCCCAATGGGCTTCACGGTCTCCTGGAGCCACAACAGATGCTACTTCAAGACTAGAAACCCGAACCCTTCAGAGCGTGTGAGCGGCGTGCCGAGCTCACGACTGCGCGAGAACCAGCCTCACGCGGAGAAGGAAACCGGAGCATTGTTTCGAGAAAAGCTCCCATGGCTAATCAGTTGCCCTGATCTTTATTTTCTTTCCTTTAAGAGGTCACCCTACATAAACAGATCGCATGCGCAACCTAGAAACACTCGAGCGGCTTCCTCCTGTACATGCTAACCGCTAAACACTGTCAAAGGACACTAGAATGGATTTCATTTGTCTGTTAGCAACTTTCGTACGATACGCGGTATAGAAAGTCCAACAATTGGCGGGCTCATTGAAAGAGCAGCAGTTTTTGTGTTGGCACTCAGGGGAAGCATTTTCCCATGATGAGGGTATTGTATGTTGCACCACTTAGACTCGCGAGGGGACCCCTGGGGATGGTTTCGACACGAAAAAATGGGCTCGAGCTCAAACATATGCAAAATGAAGATAGGCTTTCTTTATTGCTCCATTCATCACCTCAAAATCTAAGCTCATTACGCTGTTACTCGGACATAATAACTCTATTCAAGTTCCTCGAGTGACGGAAACCAAATGCTCCATTCGGTAAGCTGATTTATCGCGAAATTTATTAACATTTCAACGTGAGAATCATATTTGTTTATCAGATAACCAATAGCTGGAATTAATTCTGGTTTCAAGACATAGTTCACCCAAAAATGAAAGCTTGCTAACCGTTTACTCACCCTCAGACCATCCGAGATGTAGATGAGTTTGTGTCTTCATCAGAACAGATTTGGAGAAATGTAGCATTTCATCATTTGCTCACCAATGGCTCCTCTGCAGTGAATGGGTGCCGTCAGAATGAGAGTCCAAACAGCTGATAAAATCATCACAATAATCCACAAGTAATCCACACCACTCCAGTCCATCAGTTAATGACTTGTGGAGTTAAAAACTGCATGTTTGTAACAAACAAATCCATCATTAAGGTGTTTTTAACTTCAAAGCATTGCTGGACTCTCATTCTGACGGCACCCATTCACTGCAGAGGAGCCATTGGTGAGCAAATGATGAAATGCTACATTTCTCCAAATCTGTACTAATGAAGACACAAACTAATCTACATCTTGGGTGGCCTAAGGGTGAGTAAATTATCAGCAATTTTTGATTTTTAGCTGAACTATTCCTTTAAGTGCTTTGGTATCAGGTTTACAGCTGCGTTACATTATACCCTCCAGGTTGATTCAGCGATTGTGATTTCTGAATGTACTGTGTTGGCTGGAGCACAGGTGCTCAAGGAGAGATCAGGGACTCTTATTAGCTCCGTTTGTTGACTCAAACCTATTAATCTCCCTGAGAAAGCAAAAGAAAACATATCATTCCTGGCACAACAACAACTATGTGTGAGCTGTGCAAGGTGGGGATCATCTGGCAGATACTAATATAGGCATATTATTCATTAGAGTACTTTCGGTATTCTTTATGCCTCTATTTAGAAGATATGAATACAGTTGGGAAAGCAAGAGAGATTTGAATTATGCTGTATTAAAAAGGTCCCCTCTGTGGCTTTGGTTTTTATAGAATGAGTGGGATTTGGTTTCAATCATAATTAATGAGTCTTTGGAGGTTTGTGGGCTATTATGTGCTGATTCTAGAGTCAGTAATGTTGCAGACGTACTTTTGACTATCAGCATAAAGTTTGGTCCACGTTATTGTTTTAGCCAATTAACATGTCTCCGTTACTTTTTAATGGCTTATTTAAAGAACAAAACAAATCGGAAAGTTGTATTTCATTATGTTTCTATTTATACTGGTCATGTAAAGTTCAACAGTTCAGCTCTGTTTTGGGAAAATTAATCTAAAAATCTTAGAGATGATAAGGATATATGCTAGCCATATTAAAAAAAAAAAAATGTTGTTTTGAGATGTTCAAAATTGTTTTGAAAGAGACAATTCGTGTTTAAATGTATATTTACACTTACAATGTAATTACTGACTAAAATTACAAATATGTAAACTCCAAATAAAATTGACAGGGTTGAAGTATCAGTGGTCTGCAATATTTATTTATTTATTTTTTGCTGATTTTTTAAATATTACCTTCAGTCAAATTAAGTAATTAAATCATAATAATGATAGCAATAATATCAAATTAAGTAATTAAATAATAACAATGATAACCATGCCATAGATAATATTTATTATTCATATTATTATTAAATTATTAAACAAAAAATAATAATCTTTCTTTTAATGGATATCCAGTTACTTTCTAGTGAGTGTTGACTCTGAAATGACTCAAAATGACTCTGGGGAAGAAAAAAAAACACCGGGTGTAAAATAAATCTGTATATTATTTCTGGTTAGAGTTTAGATTGTAGTAAGTGCAAACCACAATTTATCAAACATTAAATTATTCAAAATGTCTTTCTGAAAGATTCCTGTAGCTCAAATGGTAGAGTATGATAATATGTACCTTGAATGCAGTGTTTGGATAAAAGCATCTGCCAAATGCATAAATGTAAAGAACAAACAACCACTAACTGTGGGAAAATCGTCACGCTTCAGGAAGAGGAAGTAGTTGATATTAACTCACTTCCAGGTGAAAAAACCCACACAATGTGAAACAAGAGAGAAATAGCAGGTCACTCCAAATTCAAAGCCTGCTTCCTTGGACACATGTTTCTCTAAAATGGTAAGAAAGACGAAAAGCTCCACATTCGAAAAAATGACCTAATTTACAACCTTGACCGGCAAAGCTTGAAGAGTGACTTCAGACATTGTCTTACTAATGCTGCTTTAAACTATTGAAAATACAGTCAAAGAGCTCCTATCCTTTACTGGGACACTTTCTGCCTGGATCTCACATGTTAAGCACACTGAGGTTTCTCTAGGACAAAAAGCCTCTTGAAGGAAGGTGGAAATACTGGAAACCTCTTAACAGGCAGACAGGAAAATAACGATCCCTGCAGGGCGACACATAGTCAGGAACTTTGTCAAAGTAATGGATAAACACTCTCACTTCCTCTTGCGTTTGTGAGCGGACAGAATACAGGGACCGGCGGGGAGTCTTTCAATGCTCTGCACCAACAATCTGGCAAAAAAAAAAAAAACACCACTTCAGACTCTGTCAACTGTCCCTTCACATGCATATACTGTATACACATATATTGCACATACATGTTCCCATATAGATGTGAATGTATGTACACATATATATATATACACACACACTCACAAATAAGTTACAGCAGATTTCTAGTTCCCAGCATTGCTTCTGACCGTTAAAGGAGAGTAAATCTTAAAATTAAGTGTTATTTCATATGTTTTGCTCAACATTAATATAGGGGGGTTCTGAAAGTGTTTAATGTTGTATTATTTTGGAATGTAAAAGGGTTTCTGGTATGTCTGAGTTTTTGAGGTTACCGTTGTGCTGAAGAGAGTCTGTGGTTAGGCTGACGAATGGCCAAACACCAGAATATATGTTATTTTAATTACAAAGTAATGGCTGTGCACTCTTTAGCACAGTGATCATCTATTTGCTGGTGTTTTTATAACTATGGTCACTTTTTATCTTGATTTTTTTCATGAAAGTGTCATTTGTATGCAAACATTTATTTTATGAGTAATTTTGTATTGCATGGTAATGGTATATCTGTATTGAAATGGTTGTTTTTGCCAAAAATTC